GGCCTTCGTTCCCCGATGCCCACGGTACTTGGTTGAGGCACTCAGACCTTCCTCCACCTTCCTGGTCTCAGATGTCGGCCACTCAGCCCACCGACTTATAATGCACAAATTAATCCTCTAGCCCCGCGACCGATGGGCTCATTGCTGGGGGGGGGGGGGGGGGGGGACCGACGGCGCTGAGCTCCAGACAGCGCCCCCAGCCCCAAGCGCGCCCACGGGCGAAGCGGACCGACCTTACGGTCGCAGAGAGGGAGGTAGCTCTGACTAGCCGGCTCCAGCAACCCGCGACGGACCAGTGCCCCTGGGTGGCAGCATCCGCACGCAGGCCGGGTTGTTCCAGAGGGAGAGGGGCCGGAAAGGCGGGCAGCGGGTGCAGATCACCTTCCGCACGTGCTTTGGTGTCAGAGCGACTGTGTCAGGGTCCCGCGGTGCATCCTCACTGCCACTGTAGGCTCACCTGACTCAGGTCATGCCCTACTCACCCAGGCGGCTCTCCCCACCTCCCAGCTTACCCTTTAGATGTGTGGGACCAGGTGGCTTAATTTGGGAGGTAACCAAAAGATGAGAACTTGTATGGGGACTGTTAGGTGTAAGAGGGCTTTGGGTGAGTCAAGGCTGGGAGAAAGGAGATAACCTGGAATACTTTGGAAAATTGGGGTAGTGTTTTGTAGGAATGCCCACTTCTACCAACCTGGATCTAACTCAGAGCAGGTTGGGCAGGTAGATGCAAAAGAACATGCCCCATTGGCTGTGGCTCTGTGGGGATACAGGTGGCCCTTTCCATGCCTGCACACAGCTTCCTCTCCAACTCCAAGGTCATAGGGCCCAGCTCCATTATGGAGACCCTAGCGGGAACTATGTGGTGGCCCTAAAAGAGTGGCATTGGCCTCCCAATCTTCCTCAGTCTCCTGAAAACCATCCCAAGATAAACCCATACCATGAAAACACAGCTGTAGCTAAACAGCCCAGGGGCCCAGCAAAGAAAAACCTGCCCCTTCCTTGAGGCAGATGCAACCCTGCAAGGTAGCACCAGAAGCCATCATAGTGCAAAGTGCATGGGATTGACTGGCAGGCCTCAGCAGGGCCAGGTAGGGACAACCGTCCTCAGTCCAGATAGTGCCCCCACTTTCCAACACCCCTTCCTGTATGGAGATCATGGGGGACACTTAGGATCTCCACTCCCCTGTGGTTCTAGACTTCAGTCTGCAACATCCAACCCCCCCCCCCCATCCAACTCCCTCTTTTCCCTCCTCTCCCAACTCCCCACCCCAGCTGGAAGCTCAGAGTCCGCTGTCCTAAGAGGCCACTTAGGAGTGCACCTCGCTCTCAAGGCCCAAAGCTGAGATTCTGACTGGAGAGCAGACGCCGCAGAACCCACCGCTGTGCAAGCTGTATCAACCCCTGACCTCTCTGGGTCCCCTTCACTGTCTGCTGGACCAGATCAGTGGTTCAGTAGTGGAGGCCTTTTTTCCCAAATATATCATGAAGCCAAACTCCCAAATATAAAGGCAGCGCTCCCCCAATCCCACCCCAACCTGGCCTCCAGACCCTGCTGGAACCCTTGGACTCCAGGAAACTATTAAAAAACTGCTTATCGTCCGGCCAGTGTGGCTCCGTGTTTGAGCGTTGACCCATGCACCAAGAGGTCACCAGTTCAACTCCTGGTCAGAGCACATGCCCAGGTTGTGGGCCAAATCCCCAGTGGGGGGCATGCAGGAGGCAGCCAATAGATTTTCTCTCTTATCGATGTTTCTATCTCTCGCTCCCTTTCCCTTCCTCTCTCTCTAAAAAAATCAATAAAGAAAATTTTTTAAAAAAGAAACAAAATCCACACCCCTCTCACACCTGGGCCACAATAAGTTCTTCAGGGTGAATCCCTAGCAGGTTCCAGGCTGGAGGGTGGGTGCAGCCTCTCTGCCTACTTCCATCTGACAGGCCTGGCTGCCCAGCCTGGGATTAGCCGAGGCTCCATCACGAGTGGCTGCCACAGCTGCCAAGCCTGGCCCAAGGGCTGGCTGTGGTGGCTGATCCTTTTCAAGGTCACCTCAGGACAACCCCCAGCCAGACCAGAGCTGCAGAGAAGGGAGAGGCTCTCCAGGGGAGGACCCCCTTATGAGCACTTAGAAATTCCACGTGGAAGTCAGGCCGGCAGGGGCAGCAGAACAGTCCAGACCTGGTGCTGGCCTGGCTGAAGTCCTGGCTCGCCCAGCAGCCAGGACAGGGCAGTCCCCTCACAGAGCCGGCAGTCTCCACTCCTACCAAAAACGACCCCACCCACCACCTTGTCCTCAGCCTATCAAAGATTGGGGAAGAGATTCTCCATTAAATATATATGTATATAATAATAGAATTTTCAAGCTTAAGTTAGAGAATCATTTAATGAATCCCTACATACCCATTACTCAGCTTCAATCCAATATCAATTCATAACCAATCCACAACTATATCCACACCCTCTCTCCTAACCTCTGGGTTTGCTTTTCAAACAAAGCTGAGCCCTGACCAGTGGACCCAAGGGTTTCAAGTTTGATTCTAGTCAAGGGCACGTACCTGGGTTGTGGCTTTGATGCTGGCCCCTGGTCAGGGTCTTGCAGAAAGCAACCAATCGAAGACACATCAATGTTTCTCTCTCTCTCTCTCTCTCTTCTCTTTCCTTTCTCTCTCTCTCTCTCTCTCTTCCTCCCTCCCCTTCCAGTCTCTAAAAATCAATGGAAAAATATCCTCTGGTAAGGATTAACAACAACACAAAAATTAACTAAAAATAAATAAATAAAAAGCTGAGACAGTTCACCAATAAATACTTCAGAATAAATTTCTTAAAGTCTTTTTTAAAAATCATAACCACAATACTATTATCACACCTTAAAAATTTTACCATAATTCCTTAGTATCACCAAATAGCTCATCAGAGTTCAAATTTCCCCCAGTTGCTCATAAATTTTTGTTCTGTTTTGCAGTTAGCTAGTTTGGATTTGAATCAAATAAGGTCAACACATTATATATGTACGTCTAAATTTCTTAAAACCTAGAGATTCCCCATCTTTCTTGTAATATCTGCTGTTGTTAAGGAAACTGGGTTATGAGTTCTGTAGTTCCCCAGTTTGGACTTGGGTCATTGCACCCCTATGTGTCACGTCACACGCTCCTCTGCTCCCTGTATTTCTAATCAACTAGTTTAGAAATAAACTCATGGCTCACATAAACTCATGGCTAAAATCCTGCGGCACACCAAAAAATGCTTTTTTGGCCAATCTGACAAAAAATAGGTATAATTTTGATTCATTCACACCAGCCGGCTGTTGTGTTGGCTGTTGTCATTTTATTATTTGACAATCTAAGGGAAAAGAGGTCAGGGCCCCTGACTAGGGACAGGTATTGCGTGTTTTAAAAATTCTTGCAGCACACCCATTGAAAATCACTGAACTACTCATGGACCCAGGGGATCCGATTTAGATTTGATTTCTTGGCAAAAATAACACCTAGTTGCGGTCCACAGGTCCAGAGGGTTATCTCTGTGACTTGAAGATTGAGCAGCAGGCTCCTGTGTTGCCAGTATGAGAGCCCAAATGATTAAAACTCTTGCTCTGGCTGGTTTGGCTCAGCAGCAGAGTGTTAGCCTGCAGACCGAAGGGTCTCGGGTTCTATTCCTGGTCAAAGGCATGTACCTAGGTTGCAGGTTCCATCTCTGGTCTAGGTCGTTGGGCAGACTCCCAATCCATGTCTCTCACACACTGATGTTTCTCTCTCTCTCTCTCCCTCCCTTCTACTCTCTCTAAAATAAATAAATAGCCCAGTTTGTGTGGCTCAGTGGTTGAGCATCGAGCCATGCACCAAGAGGTCACCAGTTTGATTTCCAGTCAGGGCACATGCCCAGGTGGTAGGCCCGATCCCCAGTCTCAATCCCCAGTGGGGAGCATGCAGGAGGCAGCCAATTGATGTTCTCTCTCATCAATGTTTCTAACTCTCTCCTCCCTTCCTCTCTCTCTAAAAATCAATAAAGAAAAAATAAATAAATAAATAAAAAAAAATAAAATGACTAAAACTCTTAAAGAAAAGTCTTCAGACAAAAACGGCCCTGGCCAGTTTGGCTCAGCGGTTAGAGCGTCGGCCTGCAGTCCGGAGAGACCCGGGTTCGGTTCCCGCTAAGGGCACGTACTTCGGTTGCAGTTTGTCCCCGGCCCTGGTTGGTCGTGCAGGTGGCAGCCACTCGATGTGTCCCTTCACGTCGATGTTTCTCTCTCTCTCTCCCTTCCTCTCTCTCCCTCCCACTCTGTCTGTACAAAAAAATGGAAAAATGTCCTCGGGTGAGGATAAAAAAAAACAAACAAAAAAAACAGATTGGCATGAGCAGAGAGCACAGACCCAACCCTGCAGGGTCTATCTGGGGGTAAATGGAGGCACAGGGGAGTGAGCAGACTTATATTTGGAAAAGGTTACTCTGGATGTTGAAGGATAGGTTGGAGAAGGAAGCCAGACTCAGGGCTGAACACTGGAGGATTCCATAAGAGCTGTCTGGCAGGGGCAGAACTATTAGGACAGTAGGCAGATCTAGGGTCTGGGGAGGGAGGAGGGTGGCGGTGGGAGGATGTGGTAGAGCTGTTCGGTGACTCGGTGGTGGCTGCACACCGGTGTTAGGGCCAGTTAGCCCAGGACTTGCAGAGGATGAGGATGCTGACTCTTCTCCAGTGCCCAGGCCCTATTAGAGTCACCTCCATACATTTAGGCTCTATCAGGAAATCTCACCTGAGTGACAGTCCTTTGTCCACTCATTCATTTAACAAGCAACTATTGGGCACCCTCTGTGGGTCAGGCTCCAAGCGGGCACTGGAGGCTCTTGGATGACAAGACTACCCCTGCCCTCAGAACACCCAGGCTGGCCAGGACATGGCATCTATCCACCTGACCATTCTCCAAGGCCTGGTGCCCACCTCTCCTGCTCCCCTTCTCCGCCCCAGCTAGCCAGGTCTTGCCAGACAGAACTCATAGGTGTATCCAAAAATAATCTTTATTGTCATTAGTATAAAACAGAACAATCAACTGGCCTCTCAGTCTGTACAAAGTGGGGCATAAGACCATCTGGGCTGCCCCCATTTCTCCCATAATGCCTCGTCACAGGGTAGTGCCCAGGAAGGAGCTCCATGAAGGGGAGAGGGCCACCCAGTGCCTTCCCTTGAGAGGAGTTGAGGGTGAACTGGGTGAGGGGCACTTTCTGTCTCAGTGAGGCAAAGGAGCAGAGGAGAAAACAAGTCGGGGGAGCCCTCCAATTATTCACGATCCTGTCCCCACCTTCTGCGCCCTCGAGTCCGCCCTCTGAGCCCAGGGCTGACACAGGCTGCTCCTGCAGAGGTCAGAGGGCCACGCGGGTACAGCAGTGGCGCAGCAAGCAGGGCAGGATGCCGCGGTTCAGCTGGTGGAACTCCACGAGCTGCAGCAGGTCGGTGAAGCGAGTCTGGCCCTCGTCCATGCTGAAGTAGAGGCGGCCCTCCTCCTCGCTCTGGGGCATAGCCACAGGGGGCGGGCAGTCAGGGCAGGCATGAGCCTGAGGGGCTCCCTCCTGGGCCAGGGCTGAGGTCCCCACTGATTGCGCAGGGAGAAAAGAGAGAGCAGGGGACCCCAGACACACTGGACACCGGGAGTGGAAGGCGGGGGGACAGGCTGCTGGGAGTCCTAGGTCACCACTGCAGGAACCTAGGACTCGGGAAGGGAGGGGATTCCTCACCGGCAGGATAAGATAATGCTTGACTTTCTGCAGATGGCACAGAGAGAGGACAAAGCCCTGTGGGTTTCGCTGACTATCCCGGACCAAGAACAGTCTGCCAAGAGACAGAGCCATATCAGCCGAGGACACATGGCTGCTGCCCTCTCAGGGTCTCCTGCCTCTGGGCCTGCTGCCCTGCCCAGCCCTGCCCTTACCCGTCTACCAGGCCTTGCTGGGAGATGAGCCGCTGGCTCTCCTCACGGGAAATTCGTCCATGGAACCAGGGCTGGGTTCGGTGGATGGCTGGGGTGAGGAAGAGACAGAGGGGCAGTCACTCTGAGGAGGGGACCACCCCTACTAGCCACCCCTACCACGAATGCTCAGAGCAGCCCCCACCCCAGGGCTGCTGGGCCCTCACCCACCTGCGCTGAGGCTCGTGCCCGAGCATGGCGTGGGCAGGCTGAGACGGTGGTTCGTCTTCTTCTGCAGAGCACAGGGAGACACAAAGGCTGGGGGTTTCAGGGTGTGGCTGGGATATTACTCTACCCCTCAGGAATGTAGAGCCCCTTTCTGCATCTGGGGGCCTCCCCTCACCCCTCTCTTCCCCCCACTCCTCGGAAACCCATATGGAGACATGCCCTAGCACAGACATGCAGGTGGGTGCAGGTCCCTCACCCTCCAGGCATGGGCCTCCTCCAGGGCTACACTCAGAGCCTCCCGGGGGTTCTCAATGACACGCCCAGCGTGGCCGGAGAAGTCCATGGCCACCAGGGTGTTATCCGAGACACTCCTCTGCACATGGGACAGGATGGGGAAGGGAGAGGTCAGAACAGGATCCAAGTATCCCTGGAACAGGGTCTGGGTGCCCACCCCAGCTAATGCCCCTGTGCATACTCACCAGGGGTGGGGACCCTACATAGGACGGGTGCAGGTGGCGAGACTGTATCTGCTGATAATTCTTATACAGCTGCACCCCATACTGGGCGTGGAAAGAGAAAGAGGGCCTGAGGTGAAACGTGCTGGGATTTGGGCTGTAACACCCCTGGATCAGGCCTTCCCAAAAGCAGGGTTGCATCTCCACCCCTGGATAAGGAGCTTCCTGAAGCCAGGCTGTGACTCCAGCCTCGGACCAGGGATTCTGAGAGAGCAAGGCTGTGCTCCCTGGTCCTGGAGACCTCCTGAGGGCAGAGCTATCCCTCCTCCCTCAGGCTGGGGGTCCCAGGGGCGGCCCAGCCCCCAGGCTACTCCCAGGGCCTCACCTTGAAGAGGCGGAAGGCAGATACCCAGCAGGTGCGGCTCTGCTCATCCTCACTGCAGAAGATGCGAAGCCCCTTGTGGCCGTTTCTAAGCTTATTCGGCTGCAGGGAGAGGAAACTGGCTGATTCATCATCCATCTTTAGGACCAGATGTCTGGATCCAGTCTCCATGGGGCAGGGGCAGGGGCAGGGAGAGGAGTCTGGGTCTCCCAGACGGAGCTCAGAAGCCCTGGATAGGATCCCAAGCCAGGCCCGAATCTTCACCTTGATACAGAAACCGAAGTCCGTGGGCATCCCGTACAGCTTGCGGCCCTGAGTCACCACATACACGTTGGACTCGTTCACATCTGCTACATACTGCAGGTGCCTCGGATCCTGCTCAGCACAGGTGAGAAGGACTTGGCACAGGCAGATTCTGTCCCCAATTACTGCCCCACTGAGCCAGAAGAGGGGATTACCAGGCCCAGAGAGGGGCAAAGGAGGGCCCCAGGTCATATAGCAAATAGAAATAGAGGCGGCACTTAAACTCGGTTCACACGCCTTTCCCACTGCTACCCACTGGGGCGGGTAAACTGGGCAGGAAAGAGGAGAGCTGAGGGTCTCAGGGCCCAAGGTGAGAAAGGCCCAGGAATTCCAACAGGGAAGGGGCAACGCCTAGCAGGACCAGGAGGGGGTTTCGGAGGGGCTGGGGCTTTCACCCTCAAACCGTCACCTTGGAGGTGCCCTTGGTGGAGTAATAGAGGCCAGACCGGCGCAGGAAGCAGAAGAAGCGTTTCCAAAGCTTTCGTCCTGACCCCCGCAGCTGCAGGAAGCCCTGGATCTCCGGAAAGCTGCCTGCATTCAGGAAGTTCTGAGGCCAGAGGAAAGCAAAAAGAGGGTAAGAGGCCTAGAGAGGGCCTGACAGACACCAGACAGACAGGCAGACACGCACGCACGCACGCACGCGCAGATACACCTTCCCAGGACCTGCCTTTATGACAGGAGGTGCTCCACATGCATTTTTCGTCCCGATTTAACAGATGAAGAAACTGATGCTCAGGCAGGGCAAGTGACATGCCCATAGTCACTTAGGACTGTGTTGGATTCGCTCCACCACACAGAAGGGAGGCACAAGGGTTAAGGGCTGAGAAGCAATGGGGATCCTAGGGAATCGTGACTATGCGGGAAATGGGAGTGTTTCCCCACCTGGATGAGTTCTTCATGGGATATGCCCGTCTGTGCATCCAGACAGCTAGAGACCATCTTTTCTGGGAACAGGGAGTGCTGAGGCAGACAGGAGTCCAGGGTCAGGGACTGAGGATCCAGGTTGGGGATCAGGGTGTCTCATTGCCCAGCCCCACCCCCCACCCCCACCCCCACACTCACTGGGGAGCTCTTGAACAGTTCATACTTGGCGAAGTTTTTCCGGAAGACAAAGCGGCTGTCTCCGCCAATTGGCCAACCAGCCTGTACTTCCACCACTGACTCATGGTCCTCCAAACCCCGCTCTGGGGTCAAGGGCAAAAAGCAGGGGTCAGTGGAGATCAGCCAGGCCTCATGGATGAGCCCCTGCCTAGCCCAAGGTGTGAAGCATTGCCTCCCAGCCCAGGCACCACTCTGCACGCCAACTCACCCAGGGCTAGATGGGGGTGGCACTCCACCAGCCCCCAGTTCTCATCACTGAGGGCATGAGCTCGCTGCACCAGCATTTCACACACGTAGCGGGCCGTGGCACCCGCCGCCACCTCCACCGACCGGCAGGCCCCATCTTCGCTATACACTTTGACTACCTGCACCCCAGGAATTGCAGATGACTTGAGGAAAAGCAAAGGGTGGTTCTTCCCCTTCCTATACCTGCTATACCCTTAGGGACCCCTGACCAAAGTCCCCCATCTCCCAGAAGTGGTACTGAACCTACCCAGTCCCATAGTATCCCCATATCCCTGCCTTAGCTTTCCCAGAACAACTCACATGGGGGCAGCTGGTGTCTCGAGGGAGCTGCCCCCTTGCACTGGAGGGTCCCACAATAATGGGGGTCTGTGAAGGCGGACTGCAAAGCTCAGGGAAAGGGTTGGGGATAGAAGGTAGAGAGGTTGTCCGCAGCTCCTCCTCTCGAAGTTTCCTGCGTGGAGTGGGGAAGAGTGAACTTCAAGCTTCTACTGGATTTCCCAGTGCTGACTCCCCCCACCCCCGGCCCTCCTCAGCCTCATCACCCCGTTGTACCTGCTGGTCAGAATGGGCAGAGGCTGGGACCTCTTCACCTCCCCAGGAAGAGGAGCATCAGGAGATGGGGGAGTCCCAGGAGGGGTCCCAGGAGTTGGGTACAGGTCTTCTGGGGAGCTGCTGTGATGAGGTGGAGACAGACCCAGCTCCATGGCATCTAAGAGGGGAGAAGAGGGGGCTGAATGTGGCCACTCTTGTGCCCTTGTCCTAGGGAGAGGGACCAAGAGGACTCAGCCTCCTGACCTCAAACAGCTGCCAGGTGCCCCTTGGAGTTTACCCAGCACCTAATTGCTCCCCTTTTAACTGGAGTTTCCCTGGAGCCTTTGGGGAAAGAAAGAGTGAGCCCATTTACACAAGGGGACACCGCGTCCTGAGAAAGAAACATTCTTGCTCCTAGCACAGGTGAGCCAGGGACTGGAAGCCAGTGTTGGGACGCCTAGTCTACCGCTCTTCCTTTAGCTCCAAGTTGCCCACAGGGTCACCCCACCAGAAATTGAGGTGCAGTAACAGACCAACAGACTCCACAACCCACGGACTGTCTGGGGCTCAAGCTGTCAGTGTCAGGGCAAAGGGCCACCTGTCTCAGTGCAGGGCACTCACTCCCCTGGGCTCTGCGCCGGGTTTTTCCAGTGTTCAGTTGCCAGCGCCTGTTGTGGCAACGCACGGGTCCAAGTGCTGAGTGGTGCACACAGGGGAGAAGGCGGTGGGGGAGAAGAGGAACCAGGAAGGCAGGGACAGCTGCGGTGGGAGAGGGACAGCCCTGGGCCCTTGCCCCAGTAGCTCCCAAACCTGTGTAGCTCCCCAGGCCCTTCCCCTTGCCCAATTTTCTTGAAGTTTTAATGCTGGAGCTACCTCCTCTGGGAAGCCTTCCTGAAATTTCCACATTAAGACCAAAGGGCTCACCCTGGCCGGTTTTCTCAGTGGTTAGAGCGTCGACCTGCGGTCCAGAGAGACAAGGGTTCGTTCCCGCTAAGGGCGCATAACTCGGTGGCAGTTTGTCCCCGGCCCTGGTTGGGTCGTGCAGGAGGCAGCCACTCAATGTGTCCCTTTCACATCGATGTTTCTCTCTCTCTTTCTCTCTTCCTCTCTCTCCCTCCCACTCTATCTGAAAAATGGAAAAATGTCCTCAGGTGGGGATAAAAACAAACAAACAAACAAAACCCAAAGGGCTCCCCAGGCACTGTGCTATAGCCTCTGCATCAATTACTGTGCACCTGTCTTATCCACCCAGTGGTCTGAAGACATGCCGGTCTCTAGGCAGCTCCAGGGTCTTCCCCTCTCTTAGCACCCACAGGTGCTGCATGGGAACCCAGGACAAGTAAAAACAGGAGAAATGAGGCAAAGATGCCTACTAGGGGTAGAGGTAGTGCAGGCCCCTTCTCCACTGGAACCAAGACCCCTTTGGTTAGTTGGCTGAGATCTGGGAGGACCTGCGAGACCGCACTAGTTCTAGCCGCCTGCCCACTCTCTGGATACTGAAGCAGTGTTGTTAGTCAGCCTTGGGCACCTGGGATTGAACCCCCCTCCCAGGATGTGGCAGGCCCCTGACCCTCAAGTGAGAGAATGAGGGGATTTGGGGGACAGGTGAGTCAGGGCAGGGTGGGGCAGCACTGCCTGGGGCTCTCCATTCAACCTTGACTCATCTGCACAACTTCCTGGCTTAGGAGAAACACAAACAACCCTGCCTCTACCCACCCCCCTTTACTCCCGCCCCCCCAACCTACCAGCTTGGGAGGAATGGGAGGCACAGGACAGAAAACAAGATGGGGGAGGAACAGGATGCAGGGCCTGAGGCTCCTTTGACATCATCTCCTCCTTCCCCACCCTTGGCCTACCTCCACTTCTCTAGTCCAAGTGGGACCTGCAATCTGTGCCCAGTCCAGTGGGCACCACCCAACTCAGGAGTCCCCTTACCCAGAAAAGAGAGAAGAAAAGCCCGGCCTGGATCCAGAGGCCCATCTGGAGTGGAGCCAACTTCCCACTGGTGCTCCTGGCTCACCCAAATAAACCTCAAAATGCTCCTTCCCTGCCTGACACCTCCCAGGCTTTCATTCTGCTGCTGCACCCACCTCTAGCACCCAGGACTCAGCCAGCTCAGGAGATTCATACACATCACCCCTGGGGAATGAGGATCCTCCAAACATTCTCCTGGTATCCTGGCCAGAGGTAAACCCTAGGAACAGGAGTGAAGCCAAGACACCTAGGAGGACAGACAGGCAGACAAGGAAAGACCCAGGAGAGAACCAGGGAGGGGGCTCGGATCTTGCTAGAAGGGAAGGACACACCCATCACCTACCACCAACAGACACCAGTATATCAACACCAAAACACAGTGCTCCCTACTCCACCCCAGTCTAATATCTGTCTAACAGCCCTGGTAGCTTCATTCCAGGGAGGACTAGGAGAGGGGCTGCAGGGTCAACCCCTCCAGGAAGGCTGAGACAACAGTGGGGTGGTCTGGGTCCTCCCCCATCATAGAAGGAAGAGGAATCAGGGTCCTGTTTAGAAGAGGGAAAATGTAAATCAGATTCGAGCCTGGCCTCAGAAGGCAGGACTGACTTCAGACTTGGGTTTGGTCTTCAGATCCCTCCACATTACCCTCCAGACCCTTCTAAGCCAAAAGCGGGCAGTCAGGACCAGAGATGAAATGGGAGAACTGGGGTCGTAGCTGTGGGGCCTGGACTGCCCACTTGCCAGGAGATCTAAAGGTTTCAAACAGAGGCACTAAGAAGTTCGCTTCTGTTTAAGAAACAATCTGAACCCTCAATGCTACAATTCCAAGGGGCGGCTTCCCCCAACGCCCCTCATGGCCCTGCGGCTCTGGCTCCACCCACCTCCCCCGCCCTCCGTGCCTCCTTGTTTACTTCCTGAATCTTGCCCCACCTGGCTGGCCCCAAGGTGTGTGTGTGTGGCGGGGGAAGGGGTGGCAGGGCCCAGTGTTTAAAGCCAATAGAAAACAAGGCCACCTTCGGTGCTTCCCAGGGGAGGGGGAGGGGCTGGTAGAGCAAAGGCTTGGACTTGGCGGGAAGGCCTTGGTGTAGCCGGGTTCTCCACGCCCCGCCCCCGTTGGGATTGATTGTAGGGGGCAAGGCTTAACTTTGGGGGACGTTCTTAGGGTGCAGGACTCAGGTGAGGAGGCGGTAAACCCCTTTGTGACCCGGAGCTGTGGGGAGGGACCAGGACCCTGAGGCCCCGCCCACTCCCTCGCTTAGAAAACAAAGCCCAATGGGAGGGGGGCAGCTCTTTTAAAGTTTAATTTGGGAAGAATGCCTGAGTATCTGTGGAGTTAATCATTACAGGCCGCTTGCCTTCATGAAGGGCCCCCCAGCAGGGTATCAGGGGGGAGAGCAGAGTCCAGGATAGGCAGACCAGGAGGGGGCATTCCTGAGTGGCTGTGGGACTGGGACGCTTTCCAACGGCGGACAGGTGCATTCTCCATCCCCCGCGCGCCAGTGAGACCCGGACCCAGGTCTTTCTCCAGCCAAATCAAACAAACTGGAGCATCCCCCCCCCCCCCCGCCCCTGCCCCTGCCCCTGCCCCCGCCCCCAAGCACACACTCTCCCCAGGCCGCGCGGTGCTGCAGACCCCCGTAGATCCAGCCTTCCAGCCTTCGAAGCCCACTTCGTACAGAAGCCAGGAGGGCCCCCCGCCCTGCTCCGCCCCCACCTTCCCATCCTAGGGTAGGGCTGTGTTCCGAGCAGAGAGATAGACACAGTCCGTAGAGACGGACCCCTGGCAATTGAGAGAATCCCTCTTTTACTGCCCTCCAAACAAATTGGAGGGTGCCTCCCACTCCGCCGTGGAGACGTCCGTCTTTGGTAAAGACTCGGGGAACCTCAAACTGGGGTAAAATCAGGCTGAACAAGGGAGCGACTCCCCGGAGCTTCCTCGGTACTCGGACCCCCCCCCCCCCCCCCCCCCGCCAGCTCACCTTCCGGGAATGGGGAGGGGCTAGTTTCAGCGGGAAAGCCGCGTCTCCTGAAGGATAGAAGAGACCTTACTTCCCCGTCCCCATCAGCTAGTTTGTTCCGGGGAGGGGGTTGCGTACAGAGAGGGAGGGAAGGAATGGAAAGGACAGGGAATGAGAGAATAGGGATAGTCTGGGGGCAGATGGTGGGAGGGGGCGGGATGAGAAACTGGAGGCAAACAGAAACGGAGGCCGCTTTAGTAACACAGCCGGAGGCCGAATCTTTCCGTAGTGACCCCGGCCCTGCCGGTGCTCCCTACCCCCAAGATAAAATGCCCGCTTTGGTCCTTACCTGGACCTTGCGCGTTGGTACACCTGGCTGGGGCCGCCGGTTTGGGAGGGAGACGCCAGGCCCTTAACTACCTGTCCCCCTCCTGCCCCCGCCCTTGGCCTGACATCACTGAGGGGGGAAGGGGAAGGGGGAGCGAGCCAGTCGGCTGCCCAGCCGCTCTCCTGGGCAGCCAGCCAGCCCCTGGCCCTGAGACGGGCACAGCCTGGAGCCCCGGTGCGTCCAGGGGGGTGAGAGCAGGTTGTCATCTGGGACCGATCTCGGTCCCCTTACCTGGAGAAGCTTCAGAGGGAGTAGCAGGACACAGGGTCCGAAGTCCGGCTCAGTATAGGGACCCTAGATACCTGGACTTGGTATCAAATCTACTCCCTCTTCTCTACAGGTGGTAGGGGGTTGTCCCAACTTTGGACGTAGAAGTGGGGGTGGGAGGAGATTGAGCAGCCCTGTGTGTACCCGCGCCAGGCCCAAGCAAACTAAAATTATCCTGCACAGGTGGGGGCGGGGCCTAGGGGAGGGGCATGGGAGGAGGAAGCACCCGAGGGGCGGGGACTCCCTGAAACTCTACCTAGGCTGGGATTGTTTTTGCCCTTTTTAGCCTGGCAGCAGGTGCCAGGGAAGAGGCGGAGACTGTCGAACAAAACAGCACGGAGAGCGAAGAGCTCGAATCCTCAGCACCTGGGAGGGAGAGGCTAGGGGCGGGAAGATAAGGGGAAAGGGCCCCGCCCACTCTTCCCCAAGCCCCCTCCCCAAACCTGGTTTGCTCATTGGCCAAGCTAGGGGTTTCTGGGTTCCACACCCTGGGGCAAAGGGCACTCTGCAAAAGAGGGAACCTAACCAAAGAAAAGACCAGCAACATGGCCTGCCCCTTGACCTCCAGCCAGTCTGGCCACCTTAGGCTGCATTCTAGCTCCTCCGAGGCACACAGGGTATAACCTCCCTTCTGAGCAAGGTCCAGGGGCTCAGCTTCTCCTTCTGAAATTGAAGGGGTAAGTCAGGGTCTCTTGGTGGGAGGAGTGATCTAGGCATAGTTCTGGCCAGAAGCCAGGCGACTCCCTGAGAGCGTTCATTTTAGCTCTCTCCTTCAGCACGAGGCAAACACACTAGGGCTGGAGGAGGACCTGGGAAGCTGAGATCAAAGGCAGAGGCAACCTCCCAACCAGAAGTGGGTAATGGTTGGGTAAACAAACAGTCCATAGGGTGATAAGAGATCTGCCCTGGGAGACCAGGAGAAGTGGTTCCAGCCTTATCTTCCTCCAAACTGAGTTTTCCTAGGAAAAACCAGTTTGAGTGGACTAAACAAAGAAATGGGGGAGGGGGCTAGGTCACATGGGCCAAGGAGCAGCTTGTACAAAGCACAGTGGACAATTCACTCAATAATTCCTCCATTCATTCGACGAATATTTATTAATTACCTACTGTATGCTAACACTATGTTTGGTACTGTGGATCCAGTTGTGAGCAACAAAAACAAACCCCGCCCTTGTCCTCAAGTAGCCCAGTCAAGGAGACTGATGTAATCAAAGGATCATACAAATAATAAGAAATGACAGGTGACAACTATGCTGGGAGAATGACTCACCTAGGGAGTTAGGGAAGACTTCTCCATGGAAGTGACAACTGAGCCGACGGGAAGCTATATGTGGGGTAAGGAAGTGAGTGTGAAAGGTGTGGGGAAAGGCAAGTGCTTTGGACTCAGCTGTGTTTTTCCAAGTGTGCCTCCAAATCTCCCTAGGCTTGTTTAAAAAAACAGATCCCTGTGCTTCTTTCCACCTACTGACCCTGTCTCTGGGACCAAGACCCAGGAATGTATGGTATTGACAAGCCCTCAGGTGGTTGTTCTGTAAACCAGGTTTAAGAGCCATCTATCCTGTCTGTCCAGACCTACAGGAACTATAGGCAGAGGCCAGACCCTGCGGGGTCTACCTGGGCTTAAGAAGAAGCACAGAGGAGCAGGCAGATTTATATTTTGGAAAGATCACTCTGGATGTGGAAGAGGAAAGCCAGACTCAGAGGGCTAAGTGCTGTAAGATTCCATTTATATGAATTTCCGGAGGGGATGGAACTACACGGACAGAAAGCAGATCTGGAGGTGGGGAGGGGGGAGAGGGGTTGAAAATAGCAGCACAGGGACTTGTGGGAAGTAATGGACTGTTGTGTATCTTGGTCATGATGGTGGATATATAACTGTGTGTCAGGACTCACAGAAAGGTACACTCAAGAGGGTGAATTTTACTGTGTATAAATTGTATCTGAATTTCTTTTAAATAAAAAGAAACAACAAAAAAATAGATTTATAGATCAATGAAACAGAATCAAGAGTCCAAATATAAACCCTTACATTTCTGGTCAATTAATTTTTGACAAAAGGTGCCAAGACCATTCAATGTGGGAAAGGATAGTTTTTTCAATAAATGATTCTGGGACAATTGAATATCCACATGCAAAAGGATGAATCTAGATCCTGACCTCACATAACGTACAAAAATTAATTCAAAATAGATTGACTTAAACATAAGAACTAAAACTAAAAAAGTTCTAGAAGAAACCATGAGAAAATCTTTATGACCTTATATCTCAGGTATAACAGCAAAAGTGTAAGTGACAAGTTAAAAAATTGGTAAACTATCCCTGGCCGGTTTTGCTCAGCGGTTAGAGCATCGGCCTGCGATCCAGAGAAACCCTGGATCGGTTCCCACTAAGGGCATGTACCTTCGTTGCAGTTTGTCCCCGCCCCTGTTGGGGTTGTGTGGGTGAATGTATCTCTCTCACATTGATGTTTTCTCTCTCTCTTCCCCCTCACCCCCTCCCACTCTGTCTGAAGATAAATGCAAAAATGTCCTCAGGTGAGGATAAAAAAAAAAATTGGTAAATTAGACTTAATCAAAATTTAAATTTTTGCCCTTCAAAAGACACCACTAAGAAAACTTAAAAAAAAAAAAATCCTTGTCAAACAGTGGAAGTAAATATTTGCAAGTCATATATCTGATTAGGGACTTTGTATCCAGAATACATAAAGAACTCTTATAAATCAATAACAGACAAACAACCCAATTTAAAATGGGCAAAATATCTGAGTAGATGTTTTTCCAAATAAGATATATGAATGGCCAGTAACCACATGTAAAGGTGCTCAACATCATTAGTTATTTTAAAAATGCAAATTAAAACCACAATGATATACCTCACACCTACCAGGATGTCTATACTCAAAGGAACAGACAACAAGTGTTGACAAAGATATGGGGAAATAAATACTTATATATTACTGGTGGGAATGTAAAATGGTACAGCCACTTTGAAAAACAGTTCGGCAGTTTCTTAAAAAGTTAAACATAATCTTACTACACAACCCAGCAATTCTACTAGGAATCTACCCAAAAGAAATGAAAACACATATACAAACAAAGACCCTTACATGAACATTCATAGCAGCATTATTCAAAATAGCCCAAAACTGGAAACTCAGATGTCCATCAAGTGGTATTGAATAGATAAACAAAAGGTGGCATAGCCATACAATGTGATGCTAAACTACAAAAAAGAACAAACTACTGGTACATTCTACAACATGAATAAACCTCAAAAACTTGATACTAAATGAAAGAAGCCAGAAGCAAAAGGTCACATACTGTATCATTCCACTTAATATATGAAATGTCCAGAAAAGGCAAATTTATAGACAGAAAGCAGATCAGTGGTTGCCTAAAACTGGAGCTGAGAACTGGACTGACTGCAACAGACAAGAGGAACCTTTTGAGATTGATGGAAATGTTCTGTAACTGGATTTTAGCCATGGTTGCGCAAATGTATAAATCATTGTTTTAAAATGAATGGTTCAGCCCTGGCCAGTCTGCTCAGCGGTTAGAGCATTGGCCTGCGGACCAGAGTCTCAGGTTCGATTCTGGCCAAGGGCACAGTTCTGAACCTCGGTTGTGGTTCATCCCCAGCCCTGGTTGGGGCTGTGGGTGTGGCAACCAATCGATGTGTCTCTCTCACATCGGTGTGTGTGTGTGTATCTCCCCCCCCCACACACACACTCTGTCTGAAGATAAATGTATGGGTGAGGATTAAAAATAAATATCTCATCTGGTGTGGCTCAGTGGTTGAGCATTGACCCATGCACCAAGAGGTCGAGGGTTCAATTCCGGTCAGGTTACATGCCCAGGTTGTGGGCCAAATCCCCAGTGGGGGCATGCAGGAGGAGACCAATCTATGTTCTCTCTCATCAATGTTTTCATCTCTCCCTCTCCCTTCCTCTTTCTCTAAAATCAATAAAGAAAAAAAATGTTTAAATAAAATGACCTAGTATACTATTCCAGGGATTCCAGGGAAGGCCTCCATTTCTAGAATTGCAAAATGGGAAAATGGAAATAATGATGCCAGCTGTGAGGTTGGAATGTCAGGGAAGGTGCAGGAACTGGGTGCACATGATGGGAACATAGAGCCTAAGGAGTGGGAGCACCAAAGACTATGGTTCCCAAATGCAGGAGGAGATGTGGTCACTGCTTCAGGTTGTATCAACAGTTTAGAGTTTAGGAGTCAGAAATACTTGTGTGACTATGGGGTGGTTTAAAATGCCACCCACATGTTAATGGCAACTATTCCATACCATCAGCCGGCCCCAGGACCCCAGGCCCTGAGACACCTTGCTCCACCACATTCTCTTCTTGGAAAAGGCTTTCCAGTTCAAGATATTTCATGCGGATACTAGGTGCAGGACCAGCCCTGGAGCTCGGAAGGTGGTCTGGACTTGTCCACTCAGCCGGGAGCCTTATGGCAAAGGATAGGGACAAAAACATAGCAGCAGCCAAGGCCTGCAGGGGGCGCCCAAACGTAACACGTGGCCCCGCCCCTTCACGTGCCCGCTGCGTCGCGTAACACCCGGAAGCAGCGGCTGAAGCGGAGTCGGCAGCAATGAGCGGGGACCTGGGGCCGACGTCTGCAGCGCCCCGAGCGGGGGAGATCGAGCCGGGCAGTGGGGTCCGCATCGTGGTGGAGTACTGGTGAGCGGCTCTGGCCGGTGAGGTTCCGGTCCGGACGAGGGTTGGTCCACGGGCGGTCCCTCCCCCGAAACCCAAGCAAACCCAGGTATCGTCTCCCTAGCGAACCCTGCGGCTTTGAGGCGACCTACCTGGAGCTGGCGAGTGCCGTGAAGGAGCAGTATCCTGGCATCGAGATCGAGTCGCGCCTGGGGGGCACAGGTGAGGCCCGCGGAACACCTGCTGAGTCAGTGTTCTAAATCCCAGCTATATCGCTTTCTATCTCTGGCATTGGCTGGTTTAGTGTCCAGCAGTATCTGTCACATAGTAAATATCCAGACAACTTGACTCCCCTTTCATAGTTGAGGGGGGTCACAGATGAATCCTGTAGGGAAAAACCGGTGAGATTGTAGAAGTACAGATTTGGAGGGGAGGGGGCTCTTCATTGAGTTCAAAGAAAAGACATGACACCTCCTGTGGGTTTTTGGCTTGACACCGGGTTGGGAAATGGCTTCAGGAACTACACGTTTCTAATGGGGCCTGTGGAGGACATGAAGTCTCTGCAAAGTCTGAGTGTAGAGGAACTCCTGACTTTTGCCTGTTCTCAGCATGCAATTCATTCATTGGTTTATTTAATACCAGGGGCCTTTGAGATCGAGATCAATGGACAGCTGGTGTTCTCCAAGCTGGAGAATGGGGGCTTCCCTTATGAGAAAGATGTGAGTATTTGCAATGTTGGGAGTACCCCTGGTTCACTGTGCCTCTACAGTACATCATCCCATTCCATATCTCTGCCCTCTAGCTCATTGAGGCCATCCGAAGAGCCAGTAATGGAGAACCCCTAGAAAAGATCACCAACAGCCGTCCTCCTTGCGTCATCCTGTGACTACATGGGATTCCAGGTTCCTGCTCTGTTCTGGGATCCAAGCCTTGGTCTCCCCTTTGGTCCTACTGAGGGTTTCCTACTGCCTCTTTCCCCTCACGTAGCTCCAGGTAGCTAAGACACACTGGCCTCCACTTTGCCCCTTTGGGTACCAGGAGGGAATAGAAACTTACATGGGTCAGGAGGGTGGGAGAGCCTCTCCACTATTACCACAGCCACCTTGTACCCCTTCCCAGGATCAGTGTCCACAAAAACCCACTCTCCTCTCCAGCTTAGCCACACCTTTAAGATACAACTGTAGTTCTAATTTATTTTCCGCTAGCCCTGGGTAATGTCAGCTATTGGCAATAAACTGGCACTACAAACACCTGTGCCAACTAGTGTGTGTTATGTCCAGTCTGGGAGTGTGGGGGAGGAGCAGAGGCCAGGCCAGCCTCTATACCGCCAGGGTGGTTGTGTTGGGTGGGAGGGCTTTTTCTGTACAGCTGCTTCTATTCAATGGTCTCCTCTCAGCCAAGTCAAGGAAAATGAGTCACACAGTAGACACTGCCTTTTTCCTCTCCCTTCCACCATGCCCCATCCATAGGGAAGAAATTACCCCCTTATGGTGGGTGGGTGGCCTTAGGAATTTTTTTTTTCCCTAAGCAAGAATGATTTGGGTGGCAAAGGGCTCTCAGATCTGAATCACAACTCCAACCCAAAAGCCAGGAAGTTGGACGATAGGCTTCTCATTCAAGCTTCCTAAAGATTACTAGTCACTCCCTCCAGGAAAAGATGAGTTGAATGTACATTAGGAGGTGAGCAGTAAGGGATGGCACAGATCTACTACTCCCAGACATAGGCTGGTGCCCAGCTGTTTTCCAAAATATATTTGCACTCTCTCTCCACCATCGTGGTGCGCGCGGTTGATTCTCTTTCGCCATGTCTTCTCACAAGACTTCCAGGATCAAGAGGTTCCTGGCCAAGAAACAAAAGCAGAATCGGCCCATTCCCCAATGGATTCGGATGAAAACTGGTAATAAAATCAGGTACAACTCCAAGAGGAGACATTGGAGAAGAACCAAACTGGGTCTATAAGGAATCACACATGAAAGATGGCTCACACATTTATGCTGTATCCAGGTTGCCTGCATCTTACCGTAATCGCTGAAAATATCACTACTGTCTGGGCAGTTGGGCATTGTAATTGGGAAATTATTGGAGGCACGATTTTTCTTTCTTTTTTTTTCTGCAGTAGATTGGTTCAGTAATAAATGTGAGACCTTTTAAACTGCAAATATATATATATATATATATATATTTGCAGATGGAGAAAGTGGGTGTGGAGAAAGGACATCCCAACCCCAGGGACCACAATACCCACTCTCCCTGAGTCCTTATTTCATCTTTTTTTAAAAAACAAAACAAAACACAAAAAAACAAGTAAAAACAAAACAATAAAAGCACTCTGGAAAAGCACTAGACCTGGGTACTACTGCTGCTCCCTTCTTCCGGGGGGTAGAGCTAGGACTCAGAGACAGTCTCTGAATGGATTGCTCTTGTCCTAGACACTCCACTCCCTTTGGGCCTCTTCCCCTCCTAGGCCCAGCTGCCCTAAGTCCTTCAGTGCCAGGGATCTGGGAGAAGAGCCAGGCTGGGCTGCTCCCACAGGTGAGGAGACTGTGGCTGTGGCATCCATTGGACCCTAGAGTCTGCTGGGACAGGACTCCAAATCAATGAAGACTTTCTTCCCACTGCTGCCTTCTCTTCCAACCAGGCTGGGAATTGGAACAGGAAGGTAGGTTCCTGGCATGGCAGGCTCCCCTGGATGTGGTCCAGGGTCCTTTCCCCACTCTTGTCTCGACACAGGCCAGAAGTCAGGCCTTCCCTGCTCCCCGAACGTTCAGCAGAGCCTAAGCAGACTTGGCCTTTGGCTCACACTGGCACATCCAGGCCCAGGTACTCAGGGTTCTCTGCCGTCGGGGTCCCTTCAAAGGCGCTGGGTGGAGAGCACCGCTCTGATGGGTCCTGGTCCCAGTAATAGAGGTTGTCAAAGGCTGGGCTGAAAGCTGGAGGAGGGTGAGGCTGAGGGGCAGCCCTGCCGTGGGGTGCCAAGTACTCAGGGTTCTCCACTGCACCCCCAAAGGCAAATATGTCTTTGACAACCCCATTCTTCCCAGGGGAGAGAGTCTTGGGGGAGAGAGTCTTGGGCCTTTCCAGAGTGGCACTGGCAGATCGAGGAGGAGGCAGAGGGCCCTCTAGGGGTGAGGGGGGCTTCGGGCGAACCTCTGGCTGGTTCACGTACTCTGAAAGGTCAAGAGAAGGGGGCTTGTTAGGGAAAGGAACTCAAGTGTCCTAGCTAACAGCCCCCATGTTGGGCCCCCAACTCCCCCACCTCCCAATCTCTCAGCTCAGGCCTGGATTTCATACCTGGCTGAGGGCTGCAGGTCAGGGGGGCAACGTAGCCATCAGTCTCAGAGGACAGGGGTACTGTGGGGTCCTCACTGTATCGCTGTAGAGGGCTGGGGTCGTGTGGGGAGAGGCTCTGCAGCCCCTTGGCTGCCCCCGTTCCCAAGTCACCGTCAAACACATCAGAGCCCGCCCCTTCTGAGGGTGCCAGTGGAGACTTGGGGGGCTCATCCTCAGAGGGCTCCAGCCCCAGTGTCAGCTCACCACCACCACTCTGGGAACAAGAGAGAGGGTCATGATGGGAGTCATTCACAGATCTGAGATGGAGACTCTGTGGGAGGTGACAGGGTCACAGGAGATAAACACAGTTCACCTTTGGGGTATGGCACAGTCACCATGGGTCAAACGGGGATGTGGGTTGGAAGGCAGTAGGACTCCCTAAGGAAAATGGGATCTCCATGAGAGGTGGTGGTTGGGGAGGACATCAGAGAAAGGGAACCTAGTCTATTAGGGTTAGGAGAGAGAACCACACCCACCAGTGTGCCCAAGGGCACTGACCCTGGTGGATGAGCTGCGATGCCTGCGGTGGGCCGTGCCCCCAGCGCCCGGGGCAGGGTCTGGGCAGAAGAAGCCTTGCTGGGGTACCAGGTACTCCTCAGCATCCACCAAGTCCCCCATGTCATCATCCTCCAGCAGCGAACGGTAGAAGGTGCTGTCCAAGGGGCTGGCAGGGCCCAAGTCCTCGTTCTGGGGAGAAGGGAGACAGCATGGCAGCCTCTCCCAGCCCAGTGCTCAGCCTCCTGGGAAGGCTCAGGGAGGTACAAGAGGTAAGTCAGGCAAGGGGCTGGGCTTAGAGGCCTGGGAACCAGGAATCATCTCCTTTTCCATGTCTGCAGGAAAGTGCTTAGTCATAGGTAGGGATGTGTTGGAAAGGTCAGTACCTGGATGACCACAAAGCGCTGGGGATCCCTGGCCATGCGGGAGAATTCGGCCACCAACTCCCGGAACCGAGGCCGACATTCAGAGTCTATCATCCAACCTGGGGGCAGGAGAAAGTTCAGCATCTCAGTCCCAGTGCACCCCGCCCCTTCCTCTCCAAGCTTGTCTAGTGATCAGAGTCCAAAGTCCTTAGGTGGTAGAGACAAGGTACCAGAAACTGAGAATCTCGGTAAGTTTGCCCATTTGCTTGGCATATAAGTCTCTTTCTAGTTGGTCCTCTGGAGCTTCCCTGGACTGGTGCTGTGGAAGGGAAGCAAGACCCTTCTGAGGCTCCTTTAACCATACCGGGTACACGTACATCCTGCACTCGGTCCCCTCCCATGCCCCTTGCAGACCCCTCTCCCCAGGACCTCCCACCCTCCTCCAAGCAGCCAGCACAGCTCAACCACGCACATTTGACCATGATCATGTAGACATCGATGGTGCAGATGGGGGGCTGGGGCAGCCGTTCCCCCTTCTCCAGTAGGTCAGGGATCTCCCGGGCTGGGATCCCATCGTAAGGTTTGGCCCCAAAAGTCATCAGCTCCCATACAGTCACACCTGGGCAGACAGGGGCAACAGAAGGAGCTTTAGTGTATGAGTCCCAGAGGCTCTGTCCAGGAGCCTGGCACCCTGGGGAAAGGCGGGGAGGGTGTGTTGCTAGAGTCAGGAGCTACCCGTAGTCTTTCCCCAGCCCCCGGGACATGTGCAGACCCTGGCAGATTGAGGCACTGGCAGCACCTCCCTTCTGTCCCACATGTATGCTGAGGTGTCTCCGTTAATTCTCATCCTTTCACCCACATCCCTGCCATGGACAGGACCAGGGCTCCTTGTCCACCCCTCCCAGTGCTCCCCACCACACACCATAGCTCCACACATCACTCTGGTGGGTGAACCGTCGGCGGAGAATGGACTCCAACGCCATCCACTTGATGGGCACCTGGGAGAGCAGAGAAGTCCTTGAACTAGGTGTGCTGGGAGGTGGCCATTCTCAGAGTTGTCCCAGGGCCCTGGCCCCACTCCGCCTTGCCTCACCGCTCCCTCCTCTAACCTTGCCCCCATCTGCGTGGTACTCCGTCTCATCGATGTCCAACAGCCGAGCCAGCCCAAAGTCTGTGATCTTGACATGGTTGGGACTCTTGACCAGCACATTCCGGGCAGCCAGGTCCCTGTGCACAAGCCGCACTTCCTCCAAATAGCTCATTCCCTGGGATTGGAGGCATCCTTATTAGTCATGCCCTGGCCATACTTTCCCAGGAAAACTCCCCATCCAAGCTCTGCATGGGGACAGGCTTGTTCCCAAGAGCACCTGTAGAGCCCAGGCACCCACAAAGCACAGACCCCCTTGGTGCATACCTTGGCAATCTGCACACACCAGTTCAGCAGGTCCTGGGAGCCCAGGCGCCCGCGATGTTCTCGGACGTGGTCTAGGAGGCAGCCATAGGGCATAAGCTGTGTCACCAGCTGCACCGTGGAGGTCAAGCAGATACCCAGAAGGCGCGACACATATGGGGAGCCCACACCAGCCATCACATATGCTTCCTGGGGGCAAGGGTACACACTGAGAGGGTATGGGAGACCACAAACCCCAACCACCACACACCGCTCCTGGGGGCCAAGGTGTGACTGGGACTCTCACTGGGTCCGCCCTCATCTAACACAGACCAGAACCACAGCCCACAGAACGAGGAGGTAGAGTCAAGGTTTGGGGATAAGACAAAGTGTTTCCGCAAATCCTAGTGAAGAGGGAGCCCAGAGCCTAGACCTGCAACCAGTGGGTCCCCCTCCTGTACTCCTGGCGAGGGAGGGTGGAGGGCCTTACATCCAAGATTTCTTTGTTGGCTTTAGGAGATGTGTTTTCCCTCAACACTTTGATGGCCACTGGGATCTTCACATTCTCCCCGTCGGGGATCCAGATGCCCTGGGCAGAAAGAGGAGAGTGTGAGCAGGAGACGGGCCAGCCAGATCCGACCTGCAGCCATCCAGGTCATTCCTTGTGCTCTCCACCCTTGGGCCAACTGCACAACTTAGCAACAACCTCACTATTTAGCCCTACTCTCCCCTCCCTTTCCCCTTGTCCCTGCCTCTACACCTGCCCTACCAAACGTCACTGCCCTCAGCTCAGGGCTGCCTTCCCCAACAGAACCTGAGCCTCGCACCAAGGCCCCCTCCCACCCACCCTGGACTTTGGCCCCACCCCTGACCTTGTAGACTGTGCCAAAAGCTCCGGATCCAAGCACCTTCACCTTCCTGAGCTCTGTCTCTTTGAGGATCCGCATTTGAGCCTGGTTGGGCATCGCTCCGCTAGGTGTTAGCGGCTCCACCAGCTGGAGTGAGGGGGTGACCCTGCATCAGTGCCTGGGGGGCTGGTCCGCAGACCCCCAGCAGGTAGCGAGGCCCTCCG